ATCTAAGTAATCTTGAACTTTGGTCTGGGACTCGGCGAGTTGAGGTCCAACTCGCCGAGTAGGAGCATCTTGGACACGAGAGTTTAATGAGCTACTCGGCGAGTCGGCGACCGGACTCGGCGAGTAGGTACTGTCTGGACAAAAACCCTAATCTGAGGGTTTGCACCCTATTTAAACAACTTTATTGCGGCCACAACGTCCCCTATGCTCCCAGAAAAGCTCCCTTTGAAACCCTAGCCGTTGTTGAAGCAATCTAAGTCATTTTGGTGGATTTTGGTGTTGGTAGTCTTAAGAAGGAAGGAGAAGAGCTTGAGGAAACAAGAGGAGACCAGAGGGGTTCGAGTTTGTGCTTCATTTTCAGTCCTCAGAAGGTATAAAGTTGCTAACTTGCTTGTTCATTTGCTAGATCCCATTTTGTGGAGATTTAGGGCTTTTATAAGACATTTTTAGGTAGCCAACCATGAATGCAAGCATGGTTGGGGGCAAGGCTTCGGATCTAGGTCTTTAGAGGGGTCACAAGGCAGAAAGTGGGTGCTTTTACACCCAAGAAAGACTCCATGCAACCCAAGAGCTTTTTTTATGACCTTTTGGACTCAAAGTCCCATGCATGCACGTAAAGTTCGTAACTTTACGTGCTAGAACGATCGTAGGAGCCTAGATCTATCTTTTGGTCATGAGTTGTACATCAGAAATCGAGGATTTAGGGTGTGGATGTTACCGACTCGGCGAGTCCAAGGCTTTGGGTCCCATTTCTGTTGAGGGTCAAAAGAACTCAGTTGGGTGTTAGAAGGGTTGTAGCAGGACAGGAAGGGTGACCCAACGTATTGGACTTAGTTTTAGACCTGGAGTTCATAGGACTCGGCGAGTGCTAGAACAGACTCGGCGAGTCCAAGGCAATCTCCCAACCCTTGAAGATGAACTCGACGAGTTGTTCATACAACTCGGCGAGTCGAGGACAGGACGTGTTCTTAGGATGAAGATGGACTCGACGAGTGTTCATACCGCTCGGCGAGTCGGATGAAGGTTCATCTGAGGTTGTGCTAGAAGGAGAACTCGTCGAGTCGTTGCTAAACTCGACGAGTAGGGACGTGGAGGAGGACAGTTGAAGAGATAGGGACTCAACGAGTTGACGACCCAACTCGGCTAGTCGAGTCAACTGGAAGTTGACTTTGACGTTGACTTTGACTTTTGACTTTGACTTTGACTTAGACTTGGTTTGGGGTAAAATAGTCATTTTTACCCTAAGGGTAGATATCAGATTCTGATTAAGTGTTTTGTGGGGAATATAGCCGGAGGATTTCTGGAGCAGCCGCAGTCAGAAATTCCCCGCACAGATTATCAGCAGCTACTCGTTGAGGTGAGTTTCCTTCCAGTAGGAACGGGTCTAAGGCACCAAGGTCGGCCCGTATAGATGATATGTTAGTATCGGAGTGTGGGCAGAGCCTGTATCTCATAGTTGAGTTTAATTATGATATATGCTTGTATGATAGAATTGTTTATACTCGTTGTCTGTGTAATACTTGTATGTTATGGTTTAGTAGTTGAGTGTGGGCGAGGCCCGTATCTCAGAGATAGTGGAGTGTGGGCGAGGCCCGTATCTCCCAGCTAGCGGAGTGTGGGCGAGGCCCGTATCTCCATGAGTGTGGGCGAGGCCCGTATCTCCTAGCTGTTCATCATATATGTATGGTATGTGGTATTATGGGGGAGCTCACTAAGCTTTGTGCTTACAATTTTCAGTTTTGTTTTAGGTACCTCTTCATCAAAGGGGAAGGAGCCGGTGCGGTAGCTGCACATCATACACACACCCCGGATTCCGCACTATGAGTTTCCTTGGGATTGTGCTCTGACATTATCACTATTTATGATTTGGAATTTTCAGACATTATACATAGTCTTATGAGATGTTATGATTTGACAATGTTTTCCTCCGAATGTTTTAATTAAAGTAATTTATAAAAATGAAATTTTTGGGCGTGAAAATTGGGCTGTTACAGATGTTAGGCAAGTTTCATTCATAAACAAAATGTTTAGTTTCATAGTGCTTGACCTTAATAACGTGTTCTCAGATTCCAACCATGGGTATTTTTGTCATAATGTGCATAACAATTTATCGACTAGGATTGGCTGTAGTTAAATAGTGGAAACATTATTCTTACTAACTTGAAAATTGTATACATTGTTTGATTTTGAAGTAAATTTTGGTATTTTCCAAATTGCAATTGAGGATTCTAGTAAAGGGAATACGCATGTCTGGCTTGAAAGTAATGGACACACAAAATGAGTAAGAGCCTTTTTCCCAAACACCCATTTCAATGTAAAGACCGTAGATATTTTTGATGAAATCAACGTGTTATCAGATGCTGAACGTAATTTAACGATAATGTCACTCATTGAAGTTATCCGTGAGATAGTTCGATGTATGTATATTGAACACAATGACCTTGGTGGTAAATAAACATATATAAAAATATTAACCTTATTGGAGGATTTATACCTACTTTTTAGCGTTCAATGAGAATAATTATAATATTTATATGCATAAGGGATGTTTGGTGCACTCACACTTTATGCAACGATGGTGATTGAGAGGAAGATGGACAAGTTTGTAACATAGGAGGTAACGCGCATATGCGACATCTTTGGTGTAGAATATTTTACAAGGAGTTGTATAATCGATATCAACGTCGTCACTTGTACATGTGGGAAAATGGAGAAGTTATGGTATACCGTGTGCGCACATGATAGCAACATTGCATGGTTAAACATTTTGTCTCATAGTCATAATTTTGTTCATATTTACAAAACTTTTGTAGTGTATCGAGTTACATACCAAACAGAAACAATGCACCACCCAATTTCATTAATGTAACTTTCCTTTTAATTTCTAAATTTTCAAATTGAATCCAATTATTTTATTTGTTTATTTATTTAAATTATTTGTTTAAATTTAAAAAAAATTAAAAAAATTAAAAATAACAAATTAAACATTACATTTCAATAATTTAATATTTTTCTTTTTTTTTCCATATAAATTCAAACTTCATAAAATTTTATATTTTTATATTTACTTTTTTTTAGAATAAACTCGTGTAGTACACGAGTCTCACAACTAGTTATCTATATATAGAGGTTTGTGATTGTGTTAGGTAGGGTATTAGATGCATCTCTAAAATATGTAAAAACTCATAGAAAACATTTATTTGTTTAACTTTATCCTCTTGAAATGACAATTCATAATAATTTTCAGGATTTCATTGTCAAAGTGTTTGAATTCATAGTCAAAAGTGTCAATCCATGAAATGGTGATATTTGGAAAAATTTAAAAACTGAAAATGTACTCTACTTTGTAGCTAAACAAATATAACTTCTCGAACTTCAAATTAGAAATGTGATATGCCTATGGATAACACTTGTTATAAAGAAAGCAATAAAATTTAGCTTAAACAGACTTTATATGAAAAAATTATGAAAGTTCAAAGTTATATATATATATATATATATATATATATATATATATATATATATATATATATATATATATATATATAGAGAGAGAGAGAGAGAGAGAACTAGGTTCAAATGTTTCTGACATCTATTATGTGCCCAATTGCACTAATAAGAATTTAGTAAAAATTAAATTATTATTTAATCAAATAAAAATAGATATTAAATTATTTCCATAATTATATGTATATTAAATGATATCCATAATTATAATTCAATTTTTATGGCAACTAATTAAATTATTCATTAATATCAGCAATAATATTCCTTCAGAATGAATATGTATCTAGGTTTTCATGTATGGGTTCATATTTTGTTTCATGATCCACTCACTCAAAATATAACAAAGTTGAATGAAGTATAGAGAACGATAATGTATATTAGCAGTATGAGAGTTTATTCTAGAATAATAAGAGTATATTGTAACAGAATGAGAGTGTATTCTAGTAGAATACACTATCGTTATTCATATTCCATGCAACTTTGTTGTATTTTAAGTGAGTGAGTCCATATACAAAACACGAACACATACATGAAAACATAGATGCGAATTCATTCTGAAAAAAAGTTATTGTTGACATTAATGACGAATTTAATTAGTTTCATAAAAAAAGAATTATAATTATAGATATCATTTAATATAAATACAATTATGGAAATCATTTAATATCTATCTTTATTTAATTAAATAATTATTTAAATTTACTAAATTCCTATTTGTGCAGTACACACAATAAATATAAAAAACACACATATATATATATATATATATATATATATATATATATATATATATATATATCCACTGCTTTGGACCTAAAAAAAAATATGATTTTCCAACCTTCAAATTAGAAGTGAGATATGTGGATAGACATTGTTACAAAATGCATAATGAAATTCTTTTACTCCAAACATAATTCGTATGAAAGAATTCGAGAAAAAGTTGATTTTCGCAGGCAAACCAAGTGGATTTTTACATATGATGGTTTGTGAAAATTATGGCTATTACTGTCATTTTTTCTAATTTATCACTATCTTATGGAAAAAACCTTGAACACAAATTATTATGGTCATTTTCTTTTAAATTATTAATGAAGAAAAAGTGTGCCCATAAATATTTATCAACGATGTTATGTGTTAATAAAATAATACGTGTGAGTTTGCATACATTTATTTTCATTTCTGGTGGGTATTTATTAGAATCCGTAAAAAATAGTTATATGATGATAAATATTAACTCTATAGGATCATTTCTGGGATAATTAAAAATATTGTTTCACTTTTTTTTTTTGACCAAACTAAATCCATAACCTATTTTTAACTAAAAATAAAAACCGGTTTTAAGATCAATTTTCAAAGATTAGTCGAAAAATCATTTTTTTCACACCCATTGCAATTAATGTTACATTATTGTTTTAAATGATATTCAAATAAATAACACGATAATATAAATAATAAATAAATATACATATATAAGAGTGCCTAGCTAGGAGGATGATTATTATTATTATATCGAGTATATATGTAGATCACAACACAACTCTCTTATACAAAAAGATGTCTGCTGCTGCTACTGCCAGTAGGCTTCTTCAATCTCTTCATCTTCTCTTCATCTTCTTCATCCTCCTAAACCCATTCCAATCTTCCCATGTGAGTTCCTTTCCGCGACTCCTTTTCATCATTTACTTTCCTAAATTTCTTCTAATTTTGCTTTGTTTACATTCGTATTTCAATTCTGCGAATTCTCTCAAACTCATAAATTTGTAGATCTTCTCAAATTCCGTTGAATTTTTTCGTGTATCTTTTTGGTTTCTGATAATTTTGAGTTTCTGGTTTTGATTTCTAGGCGGCGGAGGAAACAATGGTGCCGTTGATAGAGCCCGGAAAACGAGAGATGATGGAATTTGTATTACACGACAGTCGCCGGAAGCTCAACGGCTTCAAGATTTGTGCACTTTGCACTTGTTGTAACTCCGGCGGCGGCGGTGGCGGTGGCGGCGGTGGTGGTAAATATTGCTTACCTTCTCCTTGTTGCTATGCAATCAACTGCAACATCCCAAATCGCCCTTTTGGATTCTGCTCATTTACTCCAAAAACATGTAACTGCTTTGGATGCCATCTTTGATCAAAACCCCAAATCTATTTTTATTAAAGAAAAATCGTTTGAAGTTTGAGGGTTTTGGTTGAAAATTTATTTTTCTTTTTTCTTTTTGGAAGATTATTTATTTATAATTATTATAATTAATGTTATAATTATTATTGTTTGCTTTGTATATATATTTTTTTTTACTTTTTTGAGGAATTAAAGAAATCTTGGCTGGATTCAATTGTATTGGGTTTAGCAAAGTATTGGGAATGTAGGTGGGGTTTAAGTTAAATAGGGGTAGCTTTTTCCAGAGTTTAAGTTCTGTAATTTAGAGTAGTGTACAACTTTTGAAGCATGAGGTACAAGAGATTTTTGCTTCATTGCTCTGATTTTGGTTATTTTGGATTCGAAAAGGGAGGGTAAAACTGGTATTTCAATATTATGCCTCGGACGAAAGTGTACGTAAAAGTCAATGAAGTTATGTAAAAAAGCAATGTCATGTAAGAAAATAACAATTTTCCTACTTTTTTATATTAAAGTTGAATGCTTATTAATTTATCATAACAACGTGTTATATTTTATTTGTGTATAATAATTTATTTAAAGTTCGTAGTTATTGTACACATTTAACCATATGTCTTTTCATAGTACATTGTTAGCCATAAAATGTTAATTATTTTTGTGCTATGCGTGAGAAAATAAACAAAATCACTGTCCAACCACAAAAGTGGAAACTTTATAGGTTTATTTTTTTTGTAACGAAAAATAAAAAGTCATTAACGTCTTTTTTTAATTAAAGAGGGAGAACTCATTTCTGTTTCATTTTATTAAATTTTGCAATTATAGTTTTATTGGCATCGGTCTATACAACATATTTTGTCAATATCTTTACATAAAAGACAAGGCCTAAAGCTCTTGATTATGTTTTTTTGTTCAATACATTCAATTGGTGACATATCATGTTGATAATGAATGTAAAATTAATAAACATCTATTCAAAAGACTTGGTTGAATTAATTAACTCAATTAAGTTTATATAGTGTAGGTATAATGAAAGATATTTGGTAGAGAGTTATTAGATATTAATGTGGTAGAAGTTGGGCAGGACCTCATCATTTAAGCCTATCTACCATATGCTACAATTATGATATGGTTGGGTTCTTTTATTTCTTGAATAAGTTATCATTTATGACTCCTTTTAAATGTGAGTTTCTTTTTATTGTAAGTTAGAATAGATTAAGCATGTCCATTTAACTCAAAAAAATATCTAACAAAATTATGTTTAATCAAGCAAACTTGATATGAGTTTGATGCAAAAAGTGTTAAATGTAGAGCTCAATAAAAATTAAGAAGTCGACATAAGTTCATATAAACTCAATCTCATTTTAACATTTACGACAATATACACTAAAGCTACTATATTTAGGTTATTTTGCGGTTTAATATCATATTTTATTTACATAAATGAGAAAATCATTTCACAATTTTAGATGCTATTTTAGGAGTATATGATTTCATGTAGGCATAGGAGAAGTCATGTCAGATTTATCATATATTTAATTCGAAATAATAAGTAGTGGAAATTTTCTTTTAAAATAGTTGGATTTCATTGACCGAAATAAAATATAGTAATTAAAACGCAAAAAGAACCAAATTATAGTGTCTTTTACATATATTGCAAATTTTTATGCTCAAATTTGATAAAATTTTGATTTATTTGCTACAATATTTAACAGGAACATCGTATGTTTAGTTTAGGAGTCTATTAAAATCTCAAATGGATAAGGCCACGCATTGATTTTGCGTTGAAGTTGCCATGTGCGTTGCTGCTTGTTTTCTGAGTGGGACATTTTGACAAACACAAGGTAGGCGTTGCCCATTTCGCACCTTCAAGGGTATCGATAGCTTTACTTTGTACTACAACGTTGTTTTAATTTTAATAGGTTTATTTTCTTCAAGTTTTTTCAGTATGGATTAAAAAAAATTATATAACAATATGGTAAATATATATTATATGTGTCAACCGGATATGTCAGAAAAAAAAAACTTCTGATCAAATGGATGTTTTCGAAAATCAGGTAATGTGTAAGAAAAGATTCTAATTAAATGGGCTAGCAGTATTTTTCATTTTTTTGTTTCAAAATCACAAATGATGTTAATTGTTAATCTCATTGTAACTCGACAAAACTCATACAATTGAAAATCAAAAACTTCGCAAATCACAAAATTAGGTCAAGCGTACTTATAAATGATGGAATCAGTGTCAAAAAGAAAGGTTGGAGATGGGTGGAATCAGACAATTCTAAAGCGATCAATGTCAAAGTGAAAAAAGGTTTTAGTAGTATGTGGATTTGTGCGATTGTGAATTGTGAGGCTTTTTTTGAGGGCTTGGGTTACAAATAGTTAGGGCCTCAAGCATTAGCCCATCTAAATATGGAAAACCATGAATAAAATGTTCATACATATATATAAGTTATTCGCTTATTTAATTGTGAATTTAATTATCTTCATGGTTAGTTTTTGGAGTAAATTATATAAATGGTCCTTGTGAGGACCTTGTGGTTTAGGGTACTTTGTACGTTTGATCCATAATTTTTTTACAAAGAAAAAATACCACAACAACCACCATTGGCGGAGACGGTCGAAGGTAGGGATAGCAAAAAATCCTGAAACTCAAAGATTTCAGGACGAGGTGGGTCTCTGTTATTGAGTAATTAGTTATACATAAGTTATCAACATAAATAACCATAGAATATTAGAGTGTGTACCTTTCAAGCATAGGAAACCACAATCGATACATAGTGGCAGATCCAGAAAAAAAAATAAACAAACAAATAGGGGTTGCACAAAATTGTTAGGGGTTGCACTACGAAAAAAACTCATTTCTGAAGACAATTTACGTCATAATATCGTCAATAAACCGACGAACTTACATTAAATTCACAATTATCAGGCTTTGTGATGGATTGCCAACGGATTCTTAACAAATTTGTGACGGCTTTTGACGAATTTTCACTAAATTTACATTTAACGGGAAAATTTGAAACGTAACATGTACTACCCCGTGCAACATGGTAAATCTACCCATGTCGATACAGATTGTATTTATGATGTATTTAGACAAGTTAATCCACATGACCGATATATCTCAACTTGACAAACCTTCTTCCTTTCCTTATTACTTGCATCGAACTTAAGAGAGGGAGAAGAGGAGACCAATTTTTACTTATAGGATGGGAGGAATTAGGATTTAGGCGATTATGCTTATCTTCATTTTAGCCCTAATATCATGCTTAAATACACCTATTATGTTGGAGAATGCTTCTAAAGGCTTTTAAAGGACCATTCAAGGTACTTCAATAGATAGGGAATCAAGCATACAAGCTTGAATTGTCCGACGAACTACAAGGTATCTATAATACCTTTCACGTTTGTTATTTGAGGAAGTACTCAGCAGAAGAAGTTGATATGCTCCCACTTTTAGAGTTAAGGATTGATGAAGATAGAATGTTGGTTGAAGAGCCGGAAGCAATCGTTGAACGTAAGAGGAAGAAATTATGACACAATATGATTAACTTGATGCTAGTGCGATGGAAACACACGACAGGGTCGAACCTCACCTGGGAAACAAAAAGTGAAATAAAGAGTAGTTATCCTCATCTGTTTGTTGTTGCATGATTCCGGGGACGGAATCATCCTAAGGGGAATATAATTGTAACGCCCATGTTTCCTGTTAGATTAGTCATAGTCTGTAATCACTTTGGTCAATTATTGTAATCTTTTATATGAATGAATAAGAAAAGATTATTCATATATCTATGTGCTTACATGTTTTATAGGATATTATGTGTAAGTTATATAAGTAGTTAATAATAAAATAAATAAGATTAAAATACACATAAAAAATAAAAGATCATTTAGGAAAAATAATCTTAACCTAGTTTCAGTATACATTATAAGGATTTCGGAGATATAAGCAGCGTTCAAATCCGACTTCATATGAAGAAGTTGTGCTTCTTCAAAGTTTTGCGGTTAAACCGCTACGACTCTATGTATCGTAAAAAGTAATTTTTTGATAAATTAATTTTTAGCCTAAGTAATTTAAACGAAAGTTGTAGTAATCATTAAACCGAGATCGTGCATATAGAGAACTTCCAAATCTGACTTCGTGAAAGGAAGTTATGATTTTTCTAAGATTTAGCGTAGCAGTATACAACTCAAAAATTGAATTTTAGATCGGTCGATTTTAGCCAAAACAATCTAAACAAGAGTTGAAGATTTTGTTAATAGGAGTCCAACAATATAGAGTCTGTTGAAAACGAACATCGGATGAGAGAGTTATACATTTTATACGGGCTTTAACAGTCTAATACTGTGTGAAAAATATAAAGTCAAAATTAGTAGACGAAGTCTAAATGAAAGTTGTAGATCTCGTCAAGTGCTTTTCGGGGATATAAAGAACGTCAAAAACGGAGCTCGTATGAAGAAGATACGTAATTTTGAAAATATGAAAAACGGTACGAGCGCGCGTAAGGAGTGCGACGCGCCCGACAAGAACACGCAATCCCACCCATTTTTCGCCACGTGTCAGGCCAACATTTTTCCACGTTGCTATGTTATGACCAAGAGCGCGACATGCGTATATGGTGCGCAGCGTGCCTACCCTCAATTCGTCATGTAAATAGCATTTCCCTCATTCCTTCGTCCTCACACCATTTCAGTCGATATTACTCTGAAATATTCGATATTTAGCCCTAGAATTCTCTGATTTTTGGGTATCTAGATAGGTTATGGAGGATCTGAATAATAGCCTTCGAGTAGGAGATCTCGAGTCAGTAATCTACCTACTTAGATCTCGATTCTCGTCAATAGTACTCTGTAAGTGAACTACGCTTACTCTACCTTCATGTAATTTATAGTTATAATTTAAATTCATCTCTAGGAACTTATAATTAAGATTTATCAATGATGCTAAGTCGTTATACCGATTGATCTACTTACAGGATATGTGCCTAGAATGGTCACGATGGTTTGGTTGTTGGATTTCAGAAAAGCTATATGCCGAAATGATCCTGCCTCCCGACTGTCCTACTTGACCAATCCTTACTTGATAGATCTTGAAGTAGGCTTTGGAATTACTGAGGAATCTAAACCCGTAGGATAATAGTTCCATGAAGTATGAAATTAGACTAAGACTTACCGTTATATACATCTAGGTCTTTTGGAAAAGGTGCAAGGCGAAGCTCTGCTCGATTCACCAATCACCAGACACCTTGTCGGGTGAGTGCATAGTTATTATCAAGAACATAATATTAAATTAAAAGTATTATTTAAGCGACATTAAATGTTTACATGTATTATCTGTGTTAAGTGCTACTTGTATAAATATGATAGCATTATTGGATTAGGGACCATAATGGACATAAATTGTCTTTAGTATAAGTCTGGATTAGTTATATTAGACTTGTAAAAAGGTGTTTAGTTCCCAATAAGTTGGACA